GCTCTAATACATTATAGTACTACTAGCTAACGTGTACACTTTAGCCGCACTTTGCTTTTTCACTTTCACTCACTTATAGCACTAAGTTCTCTTAAGTCTTCTTATCTGGTTGGCGTTGTCTAGGAGTTTGATGGCCTCGGCATTCACGTGGTTGGAGAGCCTTTGTTCATGACTCTCGGCAAACTTACTTATTGTCTTGATAACCCTATCCATCTGGAGGTCTCGATGAAGACCACAGTTTTTGAAGTACCATGGAGCGTTAACGATGTTCCTTAATACTTTATTCTGATATCGTTGTATATGTTGGATGTTACTTTCTTTTGTACAGCCCCATAGCTGTATTCCGTATGTCCATATCCGTTTAAGGACTTGCTTATACAATAACAATTTGTTATAAATAGACAGGGTGGATTTTTTTCCCATCCACCAGTACATCTTTCTGAACTTAATTTCTAATTCCTCCTTTTTTTCTTAACATGTGCTTTCCAACGTAGCTTGGAATCTAACGTCATACCCAAATACTTTGCCGTATTTGCATAAGGTATTTGGTTTCTATTTATACTAACTGGGACATGTTGTTCACTTTTGTTAGTAAAATTGATATGAACAGATTTTGTTTCATTCAATTTGATACGCCATCGGCTGGTCCAGAGTTCTGTAGTATGGTGGCTGCATCCTCGTGGTTTTGTCCGACTGCTAGAATGCATGTGTCGTCTGCAAATGTCGCAATTGTGTTAGGTTCTAATGATGGCATATCGCTGGTATAGAGCAGGAACTCCAGCTTTAACTTCTCTTAATTCTGAATATGCTTCCTCATATTTAACTCGAAAGTATCTGTCGGATATATATGATTCTAGTAGTTCAGAATATTGTTTTGGTGAGTAGCATATCATTTTATGATATAATCCGTCACGCCACACCTTGTCAAAAGCCTGCGCTACATCGAGGAAAATTGCGGAACAAACTTTTCCTTCTTCTAGAGCTTTTTCTATTATATCTGTTATTCTATGCCCCTGATCTATCGTTGAGTGGCTTGCTCTTAACCCAAACTAATAATTAGGAATTAGATTTTTTTCCTCTATAATCGGTTTTAGTCTCTTCAAGAGTAATTTTTCGTATAATTTAGACATGACAAGTAACAGTGAAATAGGCCTATATGAAGAAGCTTCTTGTGGAGGCTTTCCTGGTTTAAGTGTCATTATAATTTCTGCCATCTTCCGTATCTTTAGTACGTACCTCAACCTAAAGGAAGCATTTATAAGATGTGTTAATTTTATAATAGCTTTCCTTGGAAGTTGCTTTAACACTTCCCCAGTAATTAGATCAAATCCAGGAGCTTTCTTTGGATTTATATTTTCTTTTATTTCCAAATATACTTCTTTTGGAGTTACAAGGCTAATCTCCATTTCGTCTTGATCAGAGAGTTCCCAGTTTATTATTTCTTGTTCTTCATTTGGTTGAAAAGTATTTCTAGGTGGTCAGCAAACCTGTTGGCCGTTTGTATATTGCTTCTTGTCCAGCTACCATTAGTATTTCTATTTGGTGGATTCTGTAAGATTGGACTTTTTAATCGTTTAGTAGCCTTCCACAAAGAGTAATTAGTAGCGCTATCATTTGATAGTTCACTTAGGTAGATGTTAACCGATTCGTTTTTTAATTTCTCTTTTTAATTTTTGTGTGGAAAAATTTAATCTAGTTTTATCAACTTCTTCTCTAGACTGATGCCACTTGCATCTTAGTTTTCTTTTTTCGGTTATCATTTCTCTGATTTCTTTCGGATAGTTATTTCCTTTTATTCTTTCGACACTGTTCGTGCTGTTGCTCCAAGCAGCTTGTTGTATATTTTTCTTGAGTAATTCTACTTCTGCTTCTAGTTCATCAATGGTTCTTAATGGAACTGAGAGGTTAATCTTCTCTTCAAGGTCTATCTGGAAACTTTTCCATTCAGTATTTTTGTTGAAAAGTCTAGGGGGCTTTCTTTTTTGATCACAGTGTCACTGAGTGTGAGAATAATTGGAGAATGGTCCGAGTTCATATCCAATGCCTTCTCTATCTATATGTAATTTATAGAAATATTTTTGACTACAAAGAAGTCGATAAGGTCTGGAATTTTATTTGTGTCAGTAGGCTAGTATGTTGGCTTTCCCGTTGATACTGCGTCGCATTTTATGTATTTCATTGCTTCTAACTTTCCCTTTGGTTGTAGACTGTGGTGACCCCCAATGCGTATGTTTTGCATTGAAGTCTCCTCCAAGGATAAATCTATGCCCTTGACTGGTCAGAAAATCTACATATTGATTTTTCTTGATGGCATCTCTTGGCAGATTGTAAACTGCTGTGACGATTACCTCATAATTTTTACATTTAATTTTTACTGATGTGGTTTGAGATTGTTTTGTTCCTCACAGGTAATTTGGTCTAAAATTCGTAAACTTAAAGGTACCAGTTTTTTTAAGCATATAAATGCACTAACAAACGATAATCATCGTCAACGAAATCATCACCTATAAAAAAGCTATTGGTAAACTTTAGTTAAAGTTCACCAAGAAAATTCTAGCAACCAAAATTTACAGGACTTTTATTACACAAGGAAAATATAGAACCTATCAAAATCATAAAAAAAGAATTTGACGATCCACGAAATATTACCAGAACTCATTAAAAAATAAGAATTTTGAAGCGAAACTTCTATATTATATCGATCTTTGATATATCCTTTGGTAGTTAGTCTTTCTATCTAACTTTTGGCGTCCCTTTTGGTCTGTTTATTACTGGTTACCGGTTTGTTATCTTTATATTTAGAACTTCTTCTCCTTTTCTTTGTATGTGTCAAATTCATCTCAATCTTTGTGCTTTAATAACTTTTATGCTGTCTTCCCCTTCGGTTATATTTCTTATTTCATGGTTTATTAGTCTTTTATATTTTCTCTGGTCTGTCTTTATTGGACCTTGTATTATCCTAATAATTTTTGTTCTACTATTCTTAGTTTTTTTTTTTCACCCTTTTTCGTAAGACACATTACTTTCGCTCCATATGCTATCACTGGTCTATATTGCTGCTCTATATGTTTTGTCATTATTTTTGTGCTTACGTTTCTGTCTTTAATTAGTCGGTGATGTTTCCAATAAATCCAGTTTCCGCTTTTTGTTTCTTTTGTCGTGGGAGCACTATTTTTTGCTTTAGTTTTATTAAGTAAAGAACATTAACATTAATTGAATGTTTTTGGCATGAAAAAAGTGGATATTTTCTGTGGAATTCGACATATAACGGTCTTTGTCACAAAAACTGATTACCCTGTATAACTAATTATTAATACTTTTCACTGACCACACAAAAATTACTGTTTCTAATACATTTTTTAGTTTGAAATGTGTAAAAAACGTTGCCATGATGGTTTAGAAGATATCAAAAACTAAACTAGTAGTTTATCTATTAATAAAAATGAAGATCGTATTAAACAATCAGTCTAAAGTGTAATATTAACGTATTGTGCATTTAAGTAATCATTTAAATAGTCTAAAAGTTACACCAACACTAAAGTACTCAAATATACAAACCTATTATAGGAACCCTAATTTTTGCAGCAAAACCATACACCAGGTTCCAGTTGTGCGTTTGTTGTAGGAGTATCAAATCAAAAGTTTCATTGCTTTTAAGTAAGTCTTGTACAGGTTGATATTCTAATTGAGCTGTTGTTATTAAGAAACAGGTTTCCAGCAAATACATATGTTTTTCGTACAATAATGCATCTGACTTAGCTAGTTTTGATAACATTTCAGACTTTGCAAAGAGATCAAAGGTAAACGACACATCTATTTCGGTTAGATTTGACAAAGCCTTATCTCGTATTGGATACGTTGTAATTACGGTTAGCTGGTGACCTCTTAGTGATAGTTCTTTCCATATTGGTTGAAAAGTTAATTGATGGCTTATAGAAGGAGTTGGAAATATCCCTAAAATCCGCGCACCATTTACATTTCCGAAAGAAACCACCACAAACGAAACGACAAGAACAACAGAGCACATTTTAATATAATATTTACCATACAACTGAGAACAGCTTTGTAATATTCAGTTTTTCAAGAATTATCTTAATGGTTTTAAAGTTCCGCATGGATTTTGAAGCGAAACTTCTATACTATATCGATCTTTGATATATCCTTTAGTAGTTAGTCTGTCTATCTAACTTTTGGCCTTCCTTTTGGTCTGTTTATTACTGGTTACCGGTTTGTTATCTTCATATTTAGTATGTCTTCTCCTCTTCTTTGTATGTGTCACATTCATCTCAATCTTTGTGCTTTAATAAACTTTACTGTCTTCCCCTTCGGTTATATTGCTCATTTCATGGTTTATTAGTCTTCTATATTTTCTCTGGTCTGTCTTTATTGGACCTTGTATTATCCTAATAATTTTTATTCGATTATTCTTAGTTTTTCTTCACCTTTTTTCGTAAGACATATTACTTTCGCTCCGTATGCTATCACTGGTCTAATTGCTGCTCTATATGTTTTGTCATTATTTTTGTGCTTACGTTTCTGTCTTTAATTAGTCGGTGATGTTTCCAATAAATCCAGTTTCCGCTTTTTGTTTTTTTTTGTCGTGGGGCACTATTTTTTGCTTTAGTTTTATTTAGTAAAGAACGTTAACATTAATTGAATGTTTTGGCATCAAAAAAGTGGATATTATCTGTGAAATTCGACATATAACCATCTTTGTCACAAAAACTAATTACCCTGTATAACTAATTAATAATAGTTTTCACTGACTACACAAAAATAACTGTTTCTAATAAATGTTTTAGTTTGAAATGTGTAAAAAACGCTGGCATGATGGTTTAGAAAATATCAAAAACTAAACTGGTAGTTTATCTATTAATAAAAATGAAGATTGTATTAAATAATAATCAGTCTAAAGTGTAATATTAACGTATTGTACGTTTAAGTAATCATTTAAATAGTCTAACAGTTACACCAACACTAAAGTACTCAAATATACAAACCTATCATAGGAACCCTGATTTTTGAAGCAAAACCATACACCAGGTTCCAGTTGTGCGTTTGTTGTAGGAGTATCAAATCAAAAGTTTCATTGCTTTTAAGTAAATCTTGTACAGGTTGATATTCTAATTGAGCTGTTGTTATTAAGAAACAGGTTTCCAGCAAATACATATGTTTTTCGTACAATAATGCATCTGACTTAGCTAGTTTTGATAACATTTCAGACTTTGCAAACAGATGAAACGTAAACGACACATCTATTTCGGTTAGATTTGACAAACGCTTATCTCCTATTGGATACGTTGTAATTACGGTTAGCTGGTGACCTCTTAGTGATAGTTCTTTCCATATTGGTTGAAAAGTTAATTGATGGCTTATAGAAGGAGTTGGAAACATCCCTAAAATCCGCGCACCATTTACATTTCCGAAAGAAACCACCACAAACGAAACGACAAGAACAACAGAGTACATTTTAATATAATATTTAATATACAACTGAGAACAGCTTTGTAATATTCAGTTTTTCAAGAATTATCTTAATGGTTTTAAAGTTCCGCATGGATGATCCGATTGTTCTAAAAATATTAGTTTAGGTTCTAGACGAGTGATCACCGTACTCGTAATATATTAGAGGAAGTCAAAAAACGCTAAATTATTTTTAATTTCATAATAGTACAGTACATGCCATTATGAAATTTTATATTATAAGAGAATTATTTTTTTCTCTGACCATCAAGTGGAAAAGATCAAGCTCCTAAAGTTAAATTCACTGCAGTATTTTTAAGTATATAATTTTATTTTATTATTATATTTTTTAAATATATTTTTATGATACATTATAAAAAAGAATTGATGGATTCGACCGTTACTTGATGGAAATTCATTTTATGTAACAATAAAACACTGAAAACTTTGTTTTCAAACTTCCACAAAATTTATTTTAACTATTATCATTACAGCTGTTTCGGCTGATTGCCTTTCTCAAGTGATCTATTTTTGGCATGCGTTTACAATTTATAGTCTCTAATGAAATAGGTTGAGGAGGGGAGAACTGTTTGTCTCAAGTTGGTCATTCAGAATTATATCTGTGTTTTTTAATTTGTTGATTTCCATGGATTCTAACAAAGATAGCTTAAGGCCTTTATTTTGAATGTGAATAATTTTAAATTTGTCATTAAAAGAATGACTATGATCTAGACGGTGAAGTGCATATGTCGAATCTGTTTTTCTATTATTGAAAGCCCTTTTATATTCTGCTATTCGTTTATTAAAGTTTCTACCAGTTTGACCGATGTAAGTTTTTGGGCAGTCGCCACATTGAAGTTTGTACACACCACTATTTAAGTGTTTTTTATTTTGGCTCTTGTTATTTTTAATATATTTGCCTAGGTTGTTATTTGTTCGGAAAGCTGGTGTTATTCCTTTCTTTTTTATGTGTTTGGCTATTTTTGTTGTTATTTTGCCTGTATATGTAATCAAGCAGAAGGTACTGGGTTTTTTCTCTGGTGGTGGAAATACTAATTTCAGGGCTTTCTTGTGTAGTTTTTGATTTAACATTTTATTAATTGTTTGTTCGTTGTATCCATTGTTTACTGCTATTTGCTTATTTATATTTAATTCTGTCTCAAAGTTGTATTTTGACATCGGAATTTCTGTTAATCTATGTAACATACTATGATAAGCTGCCAATTTATGTTGTGTTGGATGGGATGATGAATTGTGTATAGTCGTGTCAGTATGTGTAGGTTTATGAAATATCAAGAAGTCATGTTTGTTTTTAAGTCTGCTAATTTTTAAATCTAAAAAATTTATGGATTGATTTTGTTCTGTTTCTACTGTAAATTCAATATGACTATGAAGTGAATTAATATACGATAAACATTGGTCGAGTTACCTGTTACTTCCTGTGAAACATACCAGTACGTCGTCTACGTATCTCCACCAATATAGAAATTGTTTGAATACGGGATGTTTTGAAATCTTTGTTTCTAGATGGTCCATAAAAATATCTGATAGTAATGGGCTTAGAGGATTGCCCATTATAAGTCCTGCACTGTTATTTGTATATATTTGATCGTTAAATTCAAAGTAGTCCTAGTTTATGCAAACTTAAAGAAGATGTAAAATTGCAGATGTAATTATTGGATTTGTACTATTTTGGTCTAAAAGGTTTTTTACTAGAATAAAAGTTTCTGTAGGAGGGCTACTAGGAAAAAGATTTTTTACGTCAAATGAAATTAATCTGGAGTTGTAAGGTAATTGAAAATGTTGTATTTTATTAACTAGTTCTATTGTATTTTTTATGGTAAATTTAGGTGAAAATTTAGTGTGTTCTAAAATAATGTCTAACAGTTTTTTTTGAAAGTTTATATGACGGAGCTGTATAAAAAGAAACTACAGGTCTTATTGGGTGATCCGGTTTGTGTAGTTTAATGAAAGAGTATAATTTAGGAGGCTGTGGGTTCATGATATTAAGGTATTTCGGTTCTATTGGATTTACTATTGAATTTGAATTTTCTAACGCTAGCTTAAATTCAACTAAATTCAAAATCAATAGTAAATCCAATAGAACAGAAATACCTTAATATCATGAACCCACAGCCTCCTAAATTATACTCTTTCATTAAACTACACAAACCGGATCACCCAATAAGACCTGTAGTTTCTTTTTATACAGCTCCGTCATATAAAATTTCAAAAAAACTGTTAGACATTATTTTAGAACACACTAAATTTTCACCTAAATTTACCATAAAAAATACAATAGAACTAGTTAATAAAATACAACATTTTCAATTACCTTACAACTCCAGATTAATTTCATTTGACGTAAAAAATCTTTTTCCTAGTATCCCTCCTACAGAAACTTTTATACTAGTAAAAAACCTTTCAGACCAAAATAGTACAAATCCAATAATTACATCTGAAATTTTACATCTTCTTGAAGTTTGCATAAACCAGGACTACTTAGAATTTAACGATCAAATATATACAAATAACAGTGCAGGACTTATTATGGGCAATCCACTAAGCCCACTACTATCAGATATTTTTATGGACCATCTAGAGACAAAGATTTCAAAACATCCCGTATTCAAACAATTTCTATATTGGTAGAGATACGTAGACGACGTACTGGTATGTTTCACAGGAACTAACAGGCAACTCGACCAATTTTTATCTTATATTAATTCACTTCATAGTCATATTGAATTTACAATAGAAACAGAACAAAATCAATTCATAAATTTTTTAGATATAAAAATTATCAGACTTAAAAACTAACATGACTTCTCCATATTTCATAAACCTACACATACTGACACGACTATACACAATTCATCATCCCATCCAACACAACATAAACTGGCAGCTTATCATAGCATATTACATAGATTAACAGAAATTCCGATGTCAAAATACAACTTTGAGACAGAATTAAATATAATTAAACAAATAGCAGTAAACAACGGATACAACGAACAAACAATTAATAAAATGTTAAATCAAAAACTACACAAGAAAGCCCTGAAATTAGTATTTCCACTACCAGAGAAAAAACCCAGTACCTTCTGCTTGATTACATATACAGGCAAAATAACAACAAAAATAGCCAAACACATAAAAAAAAAGGAAAAACACCAGCTTTTCAAAGAAATAACAACCTAGGCAAATATATTAAAAATAACAACAAGAGCCAAATAAAAAACACTTAAATAGTGGTGTGTACAAACTTCAATGTGACGACTGCTCAAAAACTTACATCGGTCAAACTGGTAGAAACTTTAATAAACGAATAGCAGAACATAAAAGTTCTTTCAATAATAGAAAAACAGATTCGACATATGCACTTCACATTCTAGATCATAATCATTCTTTTAATGACAAATTTAAAATTCTTCACATTCAAAATAAAGACTTAATCTATCTTTGTTAGAGTCTATGGAAATCAACAAATTAAAAAACACAGATATAATTCTGAATGACCAACTTGAGACAAACAGTTCTCCCCTCCTCAACCTATGTCATTAGAGACTATAAATTGTAAACGCATGCTAAAAATAGATCACTTGAGAAAGGCATTCAGCCGAAACAGCTGTAGTGATAATAGTTTAAATAAATTTTGTGAAAGTTTGAAAACAAAGTTTTCAGTGTTTTATTGTTATATAAAAAAGAACTTCACAACAATATAATTTTATGATATTAAATTTACTTTATAGATTTGGATTAAAAATTATTATTTATTTCATATAAAAAGTATATAATGATACCAGTTACTATTTTGTGGGGAATAATCCACAATGGTACTTTTAAATTAGGTTTATTTGACGTTTCGATTTTTATTTCGGAAATCGTTTTCAAAATACAAAACAATAACATAAATATTTTTTTTAAATATATTTTTTTTTTAATTTGAAACAATAATTTAAAAAAACAATGGTTTTCAGAAACCTTTTGAGGTATACTATAATTTAGTATCTCACTATAAAAATTATTTTAATAACAGCTGTAAAACTGAATAATCACTTGTAAATACTCTATTGTTATAAAATTATCATTAGGCGAGCGGTTTACCCCTATAAGCAGAGCATCAACCGACTAAAATTCTTTTTGCATTTCTAATGCACCAAACCTTTTTCATTCGATTCTATATATTTTTCCAAGATGAAATGTATTTTGTTTTTAAATTTTTAAAAGTGGGCCGGCAATTGTTATTAACAAATAACTTATACAAAAAAGCAATTTCACCAAATTGCTTCGGAATCCATTTTTTAAGTGTATCTCATCAAAATAAACACTTTTTTTTTTAAATATTTTTCGAAAAATGCTTCCTTTTCGAGTTATTTGCATTTTTTTGTTGAAAAAATGCCTTAATTAGTGATTTTTGGGATTTTTTTTCTAAAAAGCTACTAAATGAATTGCAATTTTACAAATAGCTTTATAATCTTTAAACCGTCGAGTACAAGTGAGAATATTTTGACAAGGAATAAATGGTTTCTATTTCGCTAAAAACGTGGACCCAAATATTTCGAATATGCCTTTCGAGAGTATCCCGCTAAGCGTGTACAGCATTTGAGGTGCTGTAGGCGCTCGAATCTTTTCGACTTTTTTAATAATGTAATATATATATATATATATATATATATATATATATATATATATATATATATATATCTATATATATATATATATATATATATATATATATATATATATATATATTGTTAAGGTTCCAAAAAAACTTAAAGAACCATACAAATTGTTATTTGGAAATAATCTGGACAAAAAAATAAGTAAGTTTGTTTACTTAAGAAAATGTATAAAATTATTTCTGTCATTAAATAATAAGATATGTAAATTAGTGGGCTTATAAAAAATGAAAGCAATTTTTGGATAAAAAGTGACAGTTTTGACATTTTGCGGGGGAATAGAAAAATAACTTTGACAAACGTCACTCTCTTTAGAATTTCCGAAGGAAGAACGGCTGTTTTAAGAGTTTCGTCGGTGCTGGTGGTAGAAGGTTTAATGCAGTGAAGAGTCAATGGAATGGTGAATTTTTGTGTTGTTTGCTGGA